ATTTTTTTTTATTATTGACTATTTGAGTTGGGAGAAAAAAAAAAAAAAAAAGATTTCGGGTTCGGGCTCTAAATTTAACTGTGCCGCTCGGGTCAGGTCAGGTCAGACAATCTCGGGTACGGGCCGGGTTCGGACTTCACTTTAAAGCCCGTGCAGACCTCTAATAGACAGACATAAAATACTGAAATACACATTTTATTTTATTTTATATATACTAATTAAAAAAAATACAAAATTACTTAACTAAAATTAAAATAAAAGAATTCAAAATATTAATTAAAAGCTTTAAACAGTATGTTACTAAAATGATACTAAAATGACACTGGACACACTTATTACACTTATTATTACACAGATATATAGACGTGTGTGTGCGTTTTTGTGACATATGAGGACACAAGTTTGTATAATGACATGGGTTTGACAGGTATTACAAGGAAAAGGTGACTTATGAGGACATTACCCCATGTCCCCATTTTTCAAAACGCTTATACATCATACAGGGTGAGTTTTTTTTGAGAAAGTAAAAATTCACAAAGTTTCCTCATTACGCCTATGGAATGTCCCCACAATTCACAAAAACAAACGTGTGTGTGTGTGTGTCAAAACAAAATCTTCAGATTGTGCTTCAGATTTCTCTGGGACTGAGACGGATCATGTGACACTTTGTACAGATGGTCAAATGCTTTTTTTTTCCACTGAAGCTCAAAATGCTCTTTGGATCATTCCGAGTGTGTGTGTGTATTTATGTACCAGCTGATTGGAGCCTCCAGGTCGACGGGTTTCTTCATCTCTAAGGTCAGAGCTGGAGCGCACTGTTCCTCTTTATAACCCGGAGTCACCTTAACACGAGCACTGCTCCTAAAACATACACACACGTACGCACACACACACACACGGGGAAGAACAACATAATCAGTTTAGTCTGAGAGTTCATAATGCTCCATTACACACACCATTATAAACACTCATAATCATTCCCAACTCATTCTTATTGGCAGATGATTACAGGAAACCTGCAAACATGAGCACATCGACACACAAAGAGACAGACAGAATGTGTGTCAGACACGTCCTGACATGACAAACATCGACCTGAACGCAGCTCTCAGCAGCTCTGACTCTGTGTGTGTGTGTGTGTGTGTGTGGTTTGGAATTTCAGAGTCTAATCAAGGTCAGTGTGTGTGTGTGTGTGTCACCAAACCGCTGTGGGCTACAGGTGTGTGTGAGCAAATGCGTGTGTGTGTGGGGGGGTGTTTTGTAATTTCAGAGTCTAATCGAGGTCAGTGTGTGTGTGTGTGTCACTAAACCGCTGTGGGCTACAGGTGTGTGTGTGTGTGATTGTGTGTGATTGTGAGTGTGGACATGTCTTTGCAGGAAAGTCGACAAATACATGTTCTGCTTAGAGAAACGTCACATGAGCTCATGGTTCTAGAGAAGGAGAACATTTTCCAGAGTCGGATTCCGTCGTTCAAACAGCATCAAACCTCACGATGCATCATGATTTTGTTTTTGATATTTTTGTTTTGGCAGCCATGTGGAGTTCTAGAAAAAAAATAAATGCATAAAACCAAAACAAAACATGGCGGTCACTCTTCTTCTCCAGAGCATCCATCTACCGTACACTCTCTACACTCAAGAGGAACATCAACAGGAGAAAGAACAATGACAACATGACTGAGGAACAGGAAGAGGAAGTGATGCTGGGGCGGGTGGATCTGCTGAAGCTAAAAGAGGAAAGGTCAAGGGTCACTCACTTGGGATAGACGGGCTCGTACAGGTACTTCTCATCAGTGCCTCCGATGATGTCGAACAGCAGGACGTAACCATTCGCAGCCTGGAGAGAGAGAGAGATCATTGATGAAGGTGATCAGGTGTCAGAGGTGTAGAGTAACACACACTGTTTAATTGATGCAGGACACACACACACACACACACACACATTCACACAAGAACTGCACGCTTTCTCCTCTCAGATTGATGAAGTAGCGCTCTTGACTGATCTACTGCTCTAGAGTAGCGCTTCTCAACCAGACAGCAAGGAAATGGAATGCTAAATGTCAATAATCAAACAAGTGACCATATATAACGTGAATAGTTTATTAGGACAGCACAATAAACAGATAACGGAGGTGAAACACACTGACGTCAAAGGTTGTGTATCCAATTAAACTCTACAGTATTCGGCACAAATTCATCTACTCAAATTAAACGGATGAAACATGAACAGGTGGTGTGATGCTCATCAACCAAACTACACAAGTTAAAACACGAGACAGGTTCAACAGGGCTGAAGGGTAAAGCACACGCGCTCTGTGTTTCAGTGCTGAAGCGGCACTCAGACTGCTGTTTGACACAGTAAATGTCAAGAATTGTACTCAGAGCAATGCCAAAAACGGTCAAAACACTTCAGAGGAACAGAATGGAAAAGCCGTCACCATGACGACCGCATGCAAAAAAATGGAAGGAAAAACTGCGAAACACTCATTATGAACACTGACATCTGAAAGAACGACAGAAATAAAGATGACGCCTACAGATCCAGATGGAAATCAAGAACATTTACAATGCACCATTCAACACAAGACTAATGATGAACAAACTATCAGCAAGGAAGCATTAAATTGTTGAAAAGTAAAGACATTTATAATGTTACAAAAGATTTGTTTCCAATAAATGCTGTTCTTTTGAGCTTTCTATTCACCAAAGAATCCGGTAAAATAAAATGCATCACGGTTTCCACAAAAATACTGTGCAGCACGACTGTTTTCAACACTGATAATAACCAGAAATGTTTCTTGAGCAGCAAATCAGCATATTAGAATGATTTCTGAAGATCATGTGACACTGAAGACTGGAGTAATGATGCTGAAAATTCAGCTCCGCATCACAGAAATAAATTACAGTTTAACAGATATTCACATAGAAAACAGCTGTTTTACATTGTAATAATATTTCACAATTTTTACTGTATTTTTGATCAAATGAATGCAGTTTCGGTGAGCAGCAGAGACTATATAGCAAATATGTACTTGTAAATGTACTATGTATATGACTTGTTTTCTTGAGACAACTTAAGAAAAGCTGGTCTCTTTATGTTCAGCCGTACACGTGGCTAAGAGGACTCAAAATACTTCAGACACACGTGGAAAGACTGAGGGGTTCAAAACAAGTGGAAAAGGCTGAGAGCGAGAGCTTCTGGAAGGACAGATGAAGGGAAAACTGGAAGGAGACGCAGTGAAGAATGTGGAAGCAGAGAGAGAGAGAGAGAGAGAGAGAGAGAGAGAGAGAGAGATGAACTTCCTGTAGAGTTCAGCACCCAGAACAGATTGTTTTCCACAGCTGGAGCGAGACGCAGCCAAAACTCCCAGAATCCCCTCAAACACTCTTCAGGCGGGCCGCAGCGCTTTCTTTAGACGCGCCGCTCTTCCTCCTGAATGCCGCTTTACTCTGTTCAGAACAGACGGGCAGCAGTGAAAAAGAGGAAGTGATGCATTCCGTCTGCGTTGCGTTGGGTCGAGACGTCTGACGGATTTTAGTGAATCGCTTCGTTCAGATGGTTCGTTTCGTGGAATGACTGAAAGAAATGATTCACTGAAGCAAAACAAGCATGCAGTGCAACACTCGGTCTAGGTTTTGAACAAACCGCTTCACTGAATTGGTTCTTTATAATGAATCTTCTTAATAATCAACTGAATCGTTCAGATAACTCACTTCCTAAATGAATCGTTTCAAATTAGGTCTAAAATTATTTCTTAGAATAATAATGTAACTGTGTTATTACTATTAACTAAAACTATTAAAACATTTTTTGTTAATTGAAATAAAGATGATAATGCAACGTATTATTTTCATTTATTTTCATTTGAAAAAGTAAAAACTAAAACTAAAAAAATAAATGAATAAAAAATTTAAAAATATATATATATATATTTAAAATAAAATATTTTTCAAAAATACTAAAATTAAAGTGAAAATACAATCTAATTCACAATGTTAACAAAAATGATACTAATAACACTGGTTAATGCTTTAGGCCTGTGTTGATTAGTTGTGGATCACATGACTAGTAGCTCAGTAACCTGTAATAGCTATTACGAATCACATGAATGCAAAAAAGGGAAACATTTAAAAGCCATTTGAATTTTACACATCCCATGTTGACTTTAACATTGACTTGCTGACAACTTTTTTTGGACAACCAGTCAAGTAAGAACGAGTAGCTGCTGTTGAAGCCGAACAGAGAGATGATCAGACACACATCAGATCTGCATACGACTGAACCTGTGAACGGCTGCAAACTGCTCTGAGATCAGACTCAACTCTAAACACACCCAGCAGCAACCGAAGACACACATCTGATACGGGAGCACTTGTAACACTCCAAAGAGAAAGGAAAAAATGAAATCGCATCATATGACCCCTTTAAGAAACAAAATGCAACAACAGCCAAACGCAAAAAATATGTGGAATATATGCTAAAAAAAATTTTTTTTATAAACAGCATGGCTTAAAACAAAAAAGTGTTTCAAATGTATCTTTTTTTTAATTGCTACAAATCACAAAGTATATTAAAAAATGTGCTTCAATGATAATTTTTTTTTTACTTTTTTAAAAATATATTTAAAAATATAATTGTCCAAAATATATATATGAAATTATTTTATTTCAGAAATCGCTAGTAAATTTCACAAAGAATTAAAAAGAAACAGCAGCAACACATTGAGTTAAACATGAATTTTTTAAGTCGAAAGGCTAAAATTGGAGTTTCTTTCTAAAACGTACTCCAATAATCTTATCTTTTCTAAAACTTAATTTTTTTTATAGTGCATGTAAATAAACTTATCGAAAAAATATAAATACATTTGAATGTCTATACTAGTGCTACATTTTTGGCAATATTTTGATGCAAATTTTAAAAATATACTTACAAATGTTTTTTTTGCTATATGGGTACACTCTGTGTAAAGGTCCCCTAAGAAGTGAGCTGCCTATGTAGGGAGCAGATATTAAGACAGCTCACTAAGAGCCAAACGTGAGCCAGAAACTCACACAAAGCCTCTCGGAATGTCACTCCTTCCTGTTACAGCTGGTTGCTCAGCGACGGAGGAATCGCAAGGAAGTCACTGTACAAACGGCAGCATTCCAGAACACAGCTGAAGAAAACCTTCACGCAACGTAAAACACGACGAGAGACGCCGGCCGATGCATCAGTTTACACTGAACATGATTTGAATTGTCATCAGAAGAGCAGAGAAACATTTGCACACCTGTGCTTTACATATCACTTTACATCAAACACAAACAATATCAACACACCAATGTGTGGAGTACAGATTCTGAATACTCCAGACAAAACCATAAATATCAGTTTTTAATTTCACTGAAAAAAACTAAAAAACAATAAAAAAAACAAACACAATAAATAATGAATAATAAAAATATAAGTAATAAATAGCTAAAAATAAAATTCAAAATTACATAAAAATAAAATTCTAGAATAAAATAAATAAAATCTCAAATAAAATAAATTTAGAATAAAAAAAAACTAAAATAATGAATAAAATCTATATTACAAAATAAATCTAAACATAAAAATAAAATAAAATCTAAAAAATAAATATAGAATAAAAATGTAATAAAATCTAAAATAAAATAAACCTAAAATGAAAATAAATCTAGAATAAAACAAAATTTAGAATAAACCTCTAAAATAAAAAAAAATAAAATTTAAAATACCCTATGGTAGAGGGGGGGAAAACCTTGCATCATTGTAAAAGGATTCAGATTTAGCATTTAGTGGAGGTAACCCTCTGCGAGCAGACTTTAACACAGCAGTCTCCAGTGTTTCTACACAACGCTGCCATGTTTAACTGCATCTCATTTGCGTGTCCTGAACCGCTTGTTTGCTGAAGGATGATTACAGGAGTGAACCGGACCAGCAGCGGATCTGATCCATTACGTATACACAGGATAATGGATCGTTTCCAAGCGTCATATGAATTCTGATTATTGTCTTCAGTCACCTGTCATGGCAGGAGAAACGCATTGAAATAATTCCCTCCAGCGTACAGCCCTCTAACATCGAGCAATTTCACACAGGTTTCACAATTTCATCAGTCATGTTTCCTTTAGATAAGAGAAAAAAAGTTACTGTTTGTCAACTCAAAAGAGTCTGCACCAGATCCATACATCAATGCATGCGTGACAACCTTGAGAAGAGACGCGCAGTCATCAAAGCGCCATGACTTTCTTTCTTCAGTGGAACACAAAAGATTTTGTGAAGAAGGCTGGAAACCAAACAACACTGGACCCCAGTGACTTTCTTTGTATAAAAATAAATAAATACATTTTTAAAAAACTTTCAATCAAAATGTTTTCAAAATTAAGAAATTAAGACGGCCATAAATATAGTAAATATAAATACTGTAATTTTACAGTTGTAATGTAATATAAAATAATAATAATAATAAATTATTATTATTATTGTATAATTATAATTATTATTGTTTTTATTATTATTATTATATTTTCTTAAATATGTTTTATTTTAGATTGAAATAAATGGCTGAACACAATATATGGGTGAATCTCTCACTCTATGTTCAATTACTCTATGCTAGATTCACATTAATAAAAACATTACCATTCATTACTAAAAAAAATCTGCATAAATTTTACACATACTGTAAATCCTTCACAATTTAAGTATTTTTTAAATAAATAAAATAAACTACAATAAAAAATAAATGAAACCACAATTCTAAAAATCTTAAATGGGGGGTTATGAAATAAAGGAGCATTTTATAAAATAAAGCAACAACCCTGAAGCTGTACATTACAGCGATTTTTATATTTTAAAAAATGCACCGTGTCATGTTTAGATAATCATAACAAGTGTTTGTGGTTTTTAGGAAGGCACCAGGTTCAGCGATCTGCACATTTACATACAGACAGGACGATAAAAGCGTCAAAACACAGTGAAAAGGCTCAAGTCAGCGATTCTCAGGCTGTTGATGTGGTGAGAATGAACCAGCTCCGATTTGAGCAGCACACTAGCAGCAGATTTACATTCGTCATCAAGCCGCTGCATGATTCTGACTTCCTCTCTTAACACAGAGCTGCTGATGTGTTTCGGCCCTGTAACGAGGCCGTTTGCAAACAAACTCCAATCTGACAAACGAGTCAAAAACACAAATAAATACAGAAACATGGCATTACAAGTTTTACATTCCAGCTATTGCACTGTTTACTGTCAGACTCGTTTCACAATCAAATGAGTGTGTTTCAGTCCCAGAAATAACTGCTGTAAATAATCCAGACGGCAGAAACACAGGTTTGATTTAAGCGTGTCGTTAGGTCAGATTGTCATCACAGCGATGCCTCATTCCCCTGCAGAAACCAAACAAGAGTCCTCAGATCTGACCGATGGGACGGAGCACATCATCAACCAAAACAACACTTATCCGATTCAACTGTCACTGAACAAAACTTCATCTCCTAACAAGTCCAAAATCACTAACACATACTGTCCAGCACAGATAATCTGTATTTAATTTTTACAATGAAGACTACAGAAATTACACTGGATGTGTTACTTTACATTTGATTACCTTAACTTCTGTAGTATTTCTTACGTGAATAAAAACTTACTTAACCTGAAAAACTTAGTTTCATAGCTCTCATTATTCTATTGCATTTATATTTGTGCTGTTGTTTGCAATTTTTTTATTTGTTCTTATTTTATTACTGACTTTTTACTTGTGTTTTTTTTAATGAAAATAAAACTTTGCGTTGAAGAAAAGTAAATTTTTGTTTGTGTATGCTGTCAATTATAGTTCTTGGAAAGAAAATCGGAATCGGCAAAAATCGGTATCAGCAGGTCACACTAACGAAAAATCGGAATCGGCCAAGAAAATTGCAATCGGTGCATCTCTAAAAAAACTATATATATATAAAGATGAAGATGATGATATAAAAAAATCTTTAAAATGTGTGCATAATGTGACTTGATATGATTATATGTGATTTTTCTGCATTAAACAAAAAAAAAAACACATTTTCATACAAGTTTTGTATGAAAATGTGATTAATATGTCATAAAAACCAGAAATGACCATTTCTTTATGCAGTTTCTTACTTTTAGAGTCGCTGCAGAAAACAAAAAAATTTAACAACAACAAAAACTGGAAATGTTGCTGGAGACGGGCTTATTTAAAATGAAAACTCATGCTCTGCTAGCAGGAGGCGCTTTTAGAGTGATAAAACTAGCTGTTTCTCCAGTAATGGCTGTAATCAAAGCAGCTCCGCTCATGAACGCTTCTTTATCAGATCAAATGAAAATGCCATCGAAACTTTTCTGAAGACAGTCGGTTCCCTTCACAGATACATTTATATAAAACACCCGCGACATTTTTTGATTTTGAAACGTGCAGTGCTCATGTTTATTCAACGAAGTCAAACGGCACAAATAAATCAATGTATGGGAAACTGGTAATGTATATCGAAATATCGGAAATGTGTTTAAAAATCATATCACCGTTATTGAAAAAAATTATATCGCGATACATATTGATATTGAATTATTGTCCAGCCCTAGATGGTGGAAAGGGTTAATCAGCCAAATCCAGAAAGGGCTTCCAGATTTTAGAGGATGCTGTGATGGATCAATAAAAGGAAATCAAATCACAGTACCGTACTGTAATGAACGTGACTGACAGACGTGAGCATGCAAAGAGTCAAACGTGGAGCCATCTCTCCTCGTCTCGGTCTGTGTGTCTGCATTCATACAGCAGAATGACAGCAATTATCAGCCAAACAAAAGAGAAACGGCAGCGCTTGTTTTGTTCACTATATGCAGTGACGGACACATTAACATTTCAACAATCGTCTCGTCTGTGAAGGACACGTGTGACTGGAGTAATTATGCCTAACTTCTGGAACAGCCCTCACACATAATGCCTTAAAATACCACTAATGTGGGCGACTCGCTAGGCCTGTTAAGCGCTGAGATTAATGCTATTCTGCCAGCATGGAGAACTTTCAGGGAACATTTGTGGTTGAAGAAACGTAGTTACAATCAATCGATCAAACTCCACACAAAAGACTAGAGGCGTGTAAAACTACATATTTTGAAAGTCAGCTACATGACTTTTCTGAGGGACTAGTTGGAAAGACTGAAGGACTAAATCACTCAGAACACCCTAGCAACTGCATAGCAACACCCTTGCAACTGCATAGCAAGCACCTAAAACACCCTAGCAGCTACCTAGCAACACCCTAAGACACTCAGAACACCCTAGCAACTACCTAGCAACACCCTAAGACACTCAGAACACCCTAGCAACTACCTAGCAACAGCCTAAGACACTCAGAACACCCTAGTAACTGCATAGCAATGGCCAAAAACACTCAGTACACCCTAGCAACTACATAGCAACAGCCTAAAACACACATAACACCCTAGCAACTGCATAGCAATAGCCTAAAAACATTTGCATCACCTTATCAACTGCATAGCAACAGTTTGGCATCATGGTGGCACCTGCTGGATGGCACAAGTTCTCGCTACATAACAGACAGATGGGTCACCTCCTCATTAACCGCACTCACATGAGAGACAGAAATGTTTTACTCACCGCCACTGCGATCATGGAGTCGTCGGGCTTCCATTCCACCTGCTGATAGAAGCCGAACTGTGCGGCTGCTTTCCCAGACTCGATATAACTGACGATCAACACGCTGGGCTAGAGACAGAGAGAAAGAGACAAAATGAGACATTCATTTGAGTCAGTGTGGTTTAGTTACGTACCGAGTCAATCATCATCACTAGTACTAGTGCTAGCACAAAGTAGGGCTGTGCGATTAATCGAAATCTAATCGAAATCGCGATTTGAGACGTTGCGATTTCCTAATCGCAAAGCCTGCGATGTGGACGCGATATTACTCTGTTCCAGAGCATATGCATGACTGCCAGCCTTGAGTTGCAGTCTTACTAACCAATAGAGTGAGCGCACCTACCCATACTGTGCTGCACATTATTGACAATATTGAGCTGAAGCTTGACTTTCCAAATTTAAAATCGCAAATCAAATCGCAATCGCAATATCTGTCAAAAAAAATCGCAATTTGATATTTTCCCCCAAATCGCACAGCCCTAGCACAAAGAGTGCTTTAGTGTTTGAGCTCAGACCTGAATGATTGCTCAGATCATGCGTGCTGTTTATGAAGTGATCAAATGCACCATTTTCACCTGCTGGACCAGAAAACAGCGGAACAAAATCCCAGACTTTGAAATAATACTTGCAACCCCTTAGTAACTGCTTGGCAACGGCCACTCAGAACACACTAGCAACAGCCTAAAACATCCAGAAGACCTTAGCAACTACATAGCAACTGCCTAAATCACTCAGAACACCCTAACTGCATAGTAACAGCCTAAAAACATTAATAACACCCTAACATAAAAAAAACATTTAAAAACATAAAAATCAGAACACCCTAGCAACTTCTTTAGGCAGCTGCCAGAGAACACCCTAGTAACTGCATATCAACTGACTAAAACACTCTAGCAACTTCACAGCAACCATCTAAAACACCCAGAACACCTTAGTAACTGCACAGCAACAGCCTAAACATCCTTGCAACTGCATAGAAGCAGTTTGGAATCATGCTAAATTATAAAAAAAAAAGTATAAAAAATTTTCTTAAATGTGCTATAGGCCTAAACCTCTCAGAACTCCTTAGCAATCACTTAGCAACACCCTCACGTAAACAACACATTTTCAGTAAATATAAAAATCGAATTCATTGTTCAGTTTGAAACTGAATCTGTCGTATAAAGCACAGAAGTGAAAGTGTCCTGAAAAGCAGAAATGACAGAGAAGCAAACATTTAGAGGAACTAACTACAAACTGCAGTAAACACAAAATAAGTGCATGTCTAAACAAATTTAGGAATATGACTGCTACATGATTCACACAGCAACAGAACTAACTGCATTAAAGTCATTTTAGTTTAATGTTCACTGCTTGCTAATGATTACACACAATAAAGTTGAGAATAACCCAAAATACTCATAAGACAAAATGTAATAAGACACTGAAATTACACCGAATAGTCTAATAGTGGAAAAATAAACGTTTAATGTCTCAAAGCATGTGTGTTTATGTCTTTATTTTACAGATCAACAGAAACGCACAACATTCTCCCAGTGAAATGAAGAGCAGCAGGGAAACACATCAGGAGAAACGAGAGACGGAGACGGATTTGCAGATGAGAACAGCGCTCGGCCACAAAGAAAAACACCCAAAAATGGAAGCAAAGTGTTGGTTTCATTCTGCCAATGGGGAGCTGTAAAACTCAACACACACACACACACACACACACACACACGCGCATGTGTGTAAAACTCATGAAAAACTTACACTAACGTCACAGAGTTGCACTGCATTTACCTTCAGTGTGTGTGTGTGTTCAGGGGTCACGAAAGGTCAGACGGGCTTCAGATTCCACACGAGAGGAACGAGCGGCGATCAACAGCCACATTCACAGCGGGTGTTCGTGATTGACAGCCATATTTACTATCGGACCTTCTGTACGGACAAAGTCACTTTCTGATTCTATTCCCACAATGGCATTGATAAAACACCTGCAACCATAGCAACTGAGATATTAACATTTTAAACTTTAATGTTTTCTTATTTATGCTAAGCTATTGTGTAAAACTGAAGTAAACTGACATCAAAAGCGGCACATTTAGCACATTTTTAGCAGATGAATTTCAGGCCGCTCAGCCCACGTGACTGTAAAACTCATGAAAAACTTACACTAACGTCACAGAGTTGCACTGCATTTACCTTCAGTGTGTGTGTGTGTTCAGGGGTCACGAAAGGTCAGACGGGCTTCAGATTCCACACGAGAGGAACGAGCGGCGATCAACAGCCACATTCACAGCGGGTGTTCGTGATTGACAGCCATATTTACTATCGGACCTTCTGTACGGACAAAGTCACTTTCTGATTCTATTCCCACAATGGCATTGATAAAACACCTGCAACCATAGCAACTGAGATATTAACATTTTAAACTTGAATGTTTTCTTATTTATGCTAAGCTATTGTGTAAAACTGAAGTAAACTGACATCAAAAGCGGCACATTTAGCACATTTTTAACAGATGAATTTCAGGCCGCTCAGCCCACGTGACGCATAGCCTGACTAAATGAAGAAAGGAAAACAGCCCTGACAAAGAAGAGAATATAGCAAAAATCATGCAGCAAAAATCACATCAATCGTCTGCACTATTGATGTCATATTTGAAACATGCATTTTCTGTAAAGCTATAAGTATAACAGTATCGTTGGAACCACTTTTTGATTTTTTTCCCAGCTGATAAACTATAAAAACACTGTCTGCCAACCAGAATCCATCTGACTTTAAAGAGCTCGAGCATTTAGAGCGAGAGACCACAAAACCACAGTAAATTAATAATAAACAGAACATTATCGTCCGCTGGTGTGAATGCTCATATAGTTATCGTTCTTGGTGAGAACAAGCCTTAACACTTAAACATTTAGGCTAGTGTGATCACTCACGTACTAACCCTGACAAACTGTCTGTGCAAAACTGTCTATTATATATTAACAGGTGATGACTAGGGGTTGAACAACTTCTGATTTTTTGAAGTCGACTTTTATGTGATGAAAGTCGAGTCGAAGTCGACTAGTCGCTGATGATGTCATTAATGAACAAATAAGTCTGGAGCTGTGATAAACAGCTTGTGCACAGCTATGGCATATGACACAGCGCTGCCCACATGGCTGTTGCTCCTATAACAGAATAAGCTGTTTAAAACATGCATTCTCCTGTTCAATTTCGAGCATCCAGTAATATAATCACACGTCTTGTGGAGCGCTTTCAGAGTATGCATTTATTTGTCATTTGAACTGTTTGGAAACAGAGCGTAAATGTGGAAGTCCTTCAAAGATTTCTTATCCTGTTGCGCCCTCTATAGGACCAGCGACTAGTTGACGTCAAGCTTAAAGCGTCATGGCAGAGCATTGAAGTCGATTAGTCGACTAGTCGGTGCAACCCCTAGTGATGACTAGCTTAAAAACTTCAGGAAGAATATTATGTGCTGCACGTTTCTTTAAGACAAGACACCACAGGCGCACAGGGTAAAAAATGTAATCAATATCACCATATTTTCCCCAGCTGATTAATCACAGCACATTAAGAAAATTATTTTGAATTACAAGTTTTCTGAAACATGTTATGTTTAAATATGCAAATGAATCATTATCTAATTAAATATGCAGTAATTTGCATACACTACCAAAACAGAATCACTCAATAAATCAGAAATTTTTTTTTTTTTTACCATGTTTTTAGGAATAAAATATCATATAAAGCAGTGTGAATGAGGAAGCACTTTATTTTACAGTGCTGTTCCTCATGCACATACTATGTACTTCTTATAGTAATTACAATAACTATGTAATAACTAGATACTAACCCTGAACCTACCCCTAAACCTAACCCTACCCCATGTAGTTACCTTGTATTACCAGAACTTTCTTATGTAGGTACACTGTAAGTACATGTAAGTAAACGTGTATATTCTAAACTGACTTTTTCTACCAAAGTTATTTTCTGGTAAGATATCTGTACTTTTACTTAAGTGTGGCTTTTAGGTACTTCACCCACCACTGAGAAACACTCAAAGGTGTATTTTGGATATTTGCTTTCTACTATTCTGAAAATGACACGTTATGAAAGCAAAACGGACAAAAACTTCAAAAATTACAATGGTTTTGCCTGTAATGTCTTGTCTAAAAATCATCATATTTGCCATCCTGAACAATACAAATCAAAAAGACAAGCAGAAGAGTTGTGTCAGTCACAACACATTTTAATCGATCCTTCACTGTCCTCATGTTGCTCTGTTATGATTGATTTACTGTAACAAAACAAGAAGAGCAACACTACCCTACTCTTCATCATCACCATCATCATATTTCACATCTGTGTATGTGTGTTTTTTAGTGTCATGTACATTTGAGTACATCTCTCTAATAAATCACCTAGATTTAGTGTCATGGCACATTAAATGATCTATTTATAAGTTAATTATTCGACCCAGCAGCTCATCAGACAAATGAGTTCAACTCTACAGACGTCACATCATCATCAGATCACAAAAACATATCTAAAGGGGTAACTGTTGAGCTGACTGAGGCCTTTATTATTACCTGAACGATAGTGATTCACATCACAGGGAACGAGTGGATCGAGACACAGCCCAGATGATCACTAACCCCAATTACCTGATATTTTAGATCAGTAATTTGCAAATGTGCAGACATGCAAACACAGCATCAAGGAACTCAAAAATGTGAAAAATCACCTGCAAAAATAATAATAATGACTGTTTCCAAACACACTGTCTGTCATTGGTCAGTCAAACAGATAGTCCCGCCCCAAACTCACATGATTGGTTGAGTCAGAAGTTGACATGTGTGGCTGCTCAAACAAACAGAACAGTGTTGCAAAATCATCACAATGACTGATGTACAGTGAGTTTAATTTAACAGTTAATGGTTAATATGATGGTTATTGTTGACTTACGGCCCACCTGTAGTCCTCATCTTAGTTTCCCACACAGAACAGATTATATATGATCTCACAGTGTTACACAACACACACACACTGAGGATTTATTTCACCAGTGCTGTTGTGTAATAAGT